TATTTTTACTTAGAGCATTAATGCCAGCTTTTAAGATAATGCAACATAGGTGGTAAAACACCATAGGTGCATTTTTTACGTAGTAAAAGTGATTGAAATTATTTGTACGTATTTTGTAAAATTAGAACTACGTAATTATATTTTATTGTTTTCTACTTTTAGTATATAATGTATTATACGTATAAAGTTGATATTATAGTATATATATAGAATTTTATAAACTTATGTATAAGATTTAATAATAGAATTGGTTAGTTCAATGATTATTCACTCTGACACATCAATTCAGATACGAATCTGGATAAAGTAATACGAATTGAAAATCGAATAATCGAAAAATTGGTCAAGTTGACTCAACGATAAGAGACTTAATAATTAGCAGTGATAAATCATAATAAATCATGTGATTATATGTTAACCAATAAAATTAATAAAATTAATTAGAAAACGTGTAACAACTAATCACACTAATTTTACGAAAGTTGATTCAAATAATCAATTAGATAATTTTCGCTGGCTCAGATTAACAACTTGGATATACATATACCCGGACCGAAAATATCAAACGCCAAATTGTAATTGCAAATTCAACTTACGTACGTACATAAGTTTCAGGTAAAATAAGAAATTTATCAAGCACAATAGATAATATAAGCAATTATTAAGCGCATACATCATAACAACGAAATAATTATTTTTCTACGTAATACTATTAAGGAGCTATCAATCACGCTTTACTAGCATTAGAAACACTATTGCGCCTTAATAAGAGAATACAATCAGAACGATAAAATTCTAAGCATCGAAGGAGTTTACATTTTCAAAAAAAGTTAAAGAATTTTTTTTATTCGTTTATAATGATCATCAGGAGTTTCAAACGTTTTATTATCTCTTCGCTGTAATACAAGCGAATTAGGAAAACCATTGTAGCATGTGAAATTCTGTACGCATGTACGTACGTACGTACGTACGTACTGTACGTAAGCGAAGGGATACGATATGATTAGAAATTTGATTTTTAAAGCAGTACTAATATAGGTCAGTCATTAGACATGTTTAAATAAAAGTGTATACGTATTGCATATAGAAAATATTCGAAATCAGATATGTAATTAAAGGATAAATTTGATTGAACCAAAGAAGTTTACCAAGTATATTAAAGAGCATGCACGAATTAACGGTAATGAATCATTTTTGTTGATGTTTTTTGTATTACGAAAACGCATTTAGACTTGGAGAACATACTATATAAGTTGATAAGTTAAAAATTAATAGTTATAAGAGTAAAGAGGCTTTTCAAAGTTTTAATTACATAAAGAGCGTGGGTATTTTTTATGCAACTTGTCATTCATTACATCGATAAATATTGAGCAATAATAGGAATTCGTTTTTCTTTCAACATGCACAAGATGCAATTCTTTATTGGCAAGTATATAATTAAGTTAGGAGGTGTGCATGTGCTTACTATAATTGGCGATTACAAAACTTGATAAATGTGAACATTTTTTATTGTCGGAACGGAATTTAGCGAGACCCAATAATCCAATGAGAGCGTTTGGCTGGACCCTGCATAAAATGATAAAATTGATCAAATAAAATCAGATGCTTATCTTATTTTTTTTGTTATCGTTATTGGCATTTAAGATAAATTCGGAAACTTTCCCACAGTGCGTTGGGCGTGGCCGACATTATTGCTTGGTATGTATCGATGTAATCTCGAAAAAAATGGTTAATAGCTAGGATAATCTATCAAAAAATTGTCTATAAAGGATTGTATGATTAACATAAATGACTAGTAACTACTGACAATAAAAAAAAATTTTTTTCAACCATTGAACATTAAAGATTTCTCGCATTATCGATCGATTGGCTAAATTCAACTAGATAAATTAGATTGTTGTCTTTTAGTTATTTAAATAATTTAGACAATTTAGGTAAGACTGTTACCTATCAGTAGAAACTTTTGGAAAGTTATGCAATGCATTTACGTTTTATTCCGCATTTAATCAAGTCCTATATTTTGTGTATGTCATATCAACAAACATGTGAAGAAGGACTCGGAAGTTGTTATATAAACAACCTCCGTTTACCGTTTTTTGTTTTGTTTTTCAGATAGATATATCTTGAGAATATATCTTGAAAAAAACTTCAATATATACTAGATAGATTTAATATAGAATTTGAAATTTCAAACCCTTTTCTTTTTTTTTTTTTATTAAAAAAAATCTTTTCAAAAGAATTCTCTTTTTTTAAAGGAATTCTTTCAAAGAAAAAAAATCTTTCTATTTCCTTTAATTTTCTTTTTCTTTTTTTTTTTTAAACAAATTTGTTTATTTTCTAATAAACAAGAAATATCGATTGAGTAGACTCCTATTCGTCGAACACTATACAACAAAAATGAATCAACTTCTCTTGAACAAAGGTAAACCTATGGAATACACCAACGAAAAAATTCAACCTGAAAAACCTACGGTATTTTCAAATCTGGCAAACATTTCAACTTCTATTGCCGACTCTATATTGTTATTCCTCGGTTTACGACCCTCCGAAAATGATGATCGCACAACACCACCTGCGTCGTCAATAATGATGCGCTATGGCCTGAGTCCACAGGCAATGGCCTACGTTCAATTTAAAAGCACACGTCTGAAAGGTTTTAACGGCGTCCTGACGTTTTTTCAACAGCCTAATGGCTCAACTGTTGTTTACGGAAAGTGGAATGGGTTGAAGGATTTGGATCCTATGAATTATGAATTTGTAATCTACAAGAATGGAGTAATGCAGCGTGACATAACTATC